CCTTTGGATGACTTGCAAGTACTAATACTTTGAGACATGGAGAAAACATTCTTTGTATGTAGTTTCCCGACAGGCATTATGTCCTGTACCCTGCACAAGGGTCCTTTTGTTTACTCCAAGGATAGACAAAGACCTACAGGGCAGATGGGCGCCCCAGCCGATTGTTGTTTGTTCTGATTCAGTGGTAAACAGTGTGTTTTCCTAGGAAAAGCAGTGGGTTAAAAAATCCCTCACGCCTGGGTGTCACAAACCTGTGCCTAGAAATCACAGCATGAATGGAAATGTGGATGAGCCCTACTTAGGACTATCCTACTTGGAACTCAGGATTGTGTGACACAATAATATGGACTTCCTGAACATCCATCATTGCAGGGGTTTTTTTTCTCAGAGTTCAGAAGATTAAACAAATTCACTCCTTTATCAAAACCATCAAAATATAAAATATCTGCAAAACTCAAAAATGGTATCTTTAATATTTTATTCCTACCCAGCTCCAACAACCCAATCCATTTTGCACATGAAACACCTCTCATTGGCCTGGTCAGAGTTACTCAATCCTGATTTTATGTATCTTGAAAGAATGGGTTTCTAAAGACCTTAATTTGTATTAATGCCCTCTTCTAAAACTTTTGACAGAACTCCATTCATAATGAAATGATCGGAAGGTAATTATTTCACTTTCTTCTTCTCCAGGAATTATGGGAATTATTTTATATACTCAATCTTAATATCATAGCTTCATTGCCTAATAGGAAAAATCCACAGGATATGAATCACTGGAGAAAGAATTAAAAATCTTTCCTGTTTTAATTTTTTTTTTAAAGAAAAAAAGATAAAAAGATTTTCTAATGGTGTAAAATCCCACAGTGCTGCAGGCACAACTTGCAAATCAGAGCTACCTCTCTGTAACTCCATGCTACCAGTTAATGCTCCTGGTCCTTTGTCGGAAAAAGCTATAAACTGCAGTGCTGTAATGATTAGTTAATGAAATAGTGGAGTGATAATGAGGCTATAAGAAATGTAAGTTAAATTATTAATTTGAAAAGGTAACCACAAAAAGTAATGGAAGTTGGAAGATGCACGCTCCTTTTTTTTTCTACCAAAGTGCGGTCAAAAGACGTAAACTAGGTGGTAGCTCAGCCCCTTGCCTTCAGCCCCTGGTCATGTTCTAATGGAACTCCTGACATTACAAATGCATTCATTTGACAGTTGTTCCCCTCTCATAAAATAATGGGTCATGGCACAAAGCTTATTTACAAATTGCACAGAAGCTGTAAAAGCCATAAAAATTTCAACTGACATTTACGACGCAGAAAGTAGCTTGAGGATGTTGATACATATTGATAAGAGTCTAGAGTGTGACATTTGGAAAGTTTACTCCTAATTCATTTGCAGAGCATGCAATATATATTGTCTAACACGCAGTCCTGTCATGCCACTGTCTTACAACATATACACCTGTTTACAAAAAAAGAAAAAAAGAAAAGGTATCTCCTCCGTTTTCCCCAACCTTCACGCTCAAGCAATTTTCTTTTCCTCTGTGGAAAACAGTCCTCTTTCTAATCACAGATGAATTAACCCAGTAATACTAACATATGGTTCCTTCTCAATCAAGTAAGGGCTGAGCAGAAATAGCCTCCCAAATTTCTCCACCCTGTTTGCGGCTGGCAAATTGGAGGAGTGATTTTGTTAAATAATTCTTCAGGGTGTCAGTAAAATTATCCAACATTGTTATCCAGCCCTCATCTAGCATGCACTAACTTCTCCCCAAACCTGTTGGGTTGTACCCTATGGAAGTATACTCAGAGTAGACTTATTGTTATTAATGTTCCATAACTTGAAAGGACCTACTTTGAGTAGTACTAGCATTGGATATAACCCAAAGTCTGCTAGAAAGTCTCATAACTTTGTGCTTTAAGGCAATGCCATTTGGGAATGAACCTGGCCACAATAGGAAGCCATTCAGGCATATACTTGTGTTGCTTATCAACCACACGTGGCTCCAACCCACCCCCACCCTTCAACCCCCACAGCTTCTTCCATGCTACCTGCACCCCATTGACAATCCCAATTCACACAAAACTTCTCCCTTCCCATCCTTCATTGATGACACCCATGGCCATTCCAGATGTTTTGGCATCTAAGTCTAACCAAAAAATGGCGTCCACCCTCCCCGCCAAGGAAGAAGGGCTGAGTGAAAATCTACATCAGAAACAGAGAGAAAAATAAAGATCTACATTGGGATCTGCCACTCCAGTGGATCCTGCAGCCTGAGGTCATCACCTCAGCTTGCTCCATGTATGGGTCACCCAGATCACACCAGTCCAAAGCTCTTGCTGCCACTCACAGAGGAGAAGGGAATGCAGAGGATAAAGTATTTCTCCCCTTCCTTAATGCCACTGTCAGAAGGAAGTGGGTGGTGGTGCAGGGTAAAATACTTTCTCCTCTTGATTCTCCTTCCCACTGCAAGTGACAGTGGGATCTTGGCATTCAGGCGTTATGTTGGGATGGGGGAGTTCTGGGGGGTGGCAGCAACAATGACATGTGGCCCTCACTCAGCAGGGCCACCTGTTCATTCAGGGTTTGGGCTTCACTGTTGTGTGTGGATGCCAGCAGGTAGGCAAGTTGCAGTGACAACACAAGGAACATGGGGAGACCCACCTGGGCCACCTACCTGCCCACTCCCTTGTTAGTTCTGCCTGTCATGCTGCCTGCCACTTCCTTTGCTCACTCACTCTACCTGGTGTCATCGCACTGTATTTTGCATGGCCACCAACAGGCAGCCACACAAATTGCAGCATGACGGCACTTTACATTGTTATGTATATAGGAAGAAGGAATCCTGCACATGACCAAAAGCTGGAGCACCTTCAAGCACTCATATAACAAGCACCCCAGGTTATCAGAATCCTTATGCACTTACTGGGTGCAGTTTGCCTTACAGTCACTGGTTTGGGGAAGGATTATGGAGCACCAACACTCAAACCAGACAGCCCATCCATGTGTAAATTGTCCCAGTGCTATTGAGAGTAAAGGAATTCTCATGAATTCTCTGGTCCTAGTCTGCTGGCACCTTATACAAAAAAGTTGACCAAGCAAAGAGAACAGAAAAGGGATAAAGAATAAAGCAGTGAGGGTCACTTTTATTTACAACACTGTCATAGTTCTATAGTTCTCTGATCCATCATCCAAGTCGTTGATAAAGATAAAGATAGAATCATTGTAGTTTCAGGCCTAAAAGGAAAGGAAAGCCTGCAGCTCGATCTCAACAGGTCTAGGCTCCAATTACAGCCGTGGCTCATGTAGGGGTCGCAGAGATAGCTTTTAAGTGGCAGGAGGACTGCACCCAGGGAGGGTGCGAGGCAGTGGTGGCAAGGTTGCGGCAGGGGGAGGTCTGGGTTGACAACCTCAGCTCCAGGGCTGCTGCCGCCAGTCCACAAATCTCTCATCTTGTCCCTGTCTCAATGGGTGTGACATTGCCGCCGCTGGGAGGTTGCCACCGCTGCGCTCATGTGAATAAACTTATTGTACAGTGGTACCTCTGGTTGCAAACGGGATCTATTCTGGAGGCCCGTTTGCAACATGGAAAGAGCGTGATTTGGTGCTTGTGCGCATGTGTGAAGCATGATTTAACACTTCTGTGCATGCGCGAACGGCGAAACCCGGAAGTAACCCTTTCCAGTACTTCCGGGTCGCCGCAGGACGCAACCTGAAAAAACATAACATGAAGGGAATGTAACATGAGGTATGACTGTATAGGACAGGCTTCCTCATCCTCGGCCCTCCAGATGTTTTTGGCCTACAACTCCCATGATCCCTAGCTAGCAAGACCAGTGGTCAGGGATGATGGGAATTGTAGTCTCAAAACATCTGGAGGGCCGAGGTTGAGGAAGCCTTGTATCGGAGTATTCTCACTGACTTCCTTGGAAGAATTCCATTGAATCCAAATGGCTGACAGTCCTGGAGGAAGCGGTTGTGTTTGTTGAGCGTTTATGGTGGAAAACTGAAAGACAGGCACCCAAACTGAGCTAACTAGGGTTCTGTCCCACTCATTCTGCCCATGCCTTGACTCTCATAGAACTGTAATGTTGGAAGGGATCCCAAGGGATCCAGTCCAATCCCTTGCAATGCAGGAATCTCAACTAAAGCATCTATGGCAGATGGCCATCCAAACTCTGCTTTAAAACCTTCAAGGAAGGAGAGTCCACCACCTCCTGAGGGAGACCGTTCCACTGCCGAACAGCTGTTACTGTCAGATGTACTGCCCTGATGTTTAGTCGGAATCTCCTTTCTTGTAACTTGAATCCATTGGTTTGGGGCCTAGCCCCTGGAGCAGGAGTAAACAAGCTTGTTCCATGTGACAGCCCTTGAGATATTTGAAGATGACTATCACATCTCCTCTCAGTCTCCTCCTATCCAGGCTAAACACATCCAATTTCCTCAAACTTTCCTCATAAGGCTTGGTTCCCAGGCCCTTGATCATATGTCTATGAGGTACTGGTTTTATTTGTTATTTTCAGAGGCCCCTTATAACCATCTTCCTTTGTTTCTCTTTTGATTTTCCTCACTGCATGTCTCTTTATCTATTGTTTTAGTCCTGAATTTTACCTATAATTTTACCTTGAATCATCCTGAATCAAAAGAGGCTGTCACAGTCTTTCTGGCTTGGAAAAAACTGTATCGTTTTGCTGTTCTTAAAATAAACTAAAATCTGAAAAAAACAAAATAAGCTACAGAGTAACTTAGGAGGGCCAGAGCAGACTGGATGGTACCTCAACACTACTCTCTGTCCCTCAGCATTTGTCACCTGAGGCAGCTGCCTCGCTCTGTCAAATAGTAGGGCCGGCCCTGTCTCTCTTTGATGAAATCTCTTTCACATACGCATATCCGTATATGCTCCATCTTCCTTTCTCCAGGAGGAGTATTTGCTTCTCGTTCTTCCACAGATACAGCACAACTTTTCTTGGGATTTCACAGTGGCTTTGCTGTTTTGCAGGATGCCATTCCTCTTGCCGCGAGTGCCTTGGCCCTGAACATTCGCACTGTACAAAGTGCATGAAGCCAGAGGAGGGGCTGCAGCCTGGAACGATGCTCAAGGGGACATCTGTGGGTGTCTGCCTACCCCGATGCAAAGACCATTTCTACCTCCATAGTGATGGGATATGCAAAGGTGAGTGAAAGAAACTCCCAGGATAATAATGAAGGAATCTTATCTTCATTGGTTCACGCTTTTAAAAAAGTCACAGGGCGAGACCCAACATACCGCACGTGGGACTATTCCTTCCTTTTCTCTCCCTTCCAGCTTCCTGCATGGCCCTCAGATCTGCTCTAGAGGTTTGGGGGATATTCTGGGGAGAGATATTGTGGGTTTATGGGAGGGAGGCTGGGGGTGTGTGAAGGGAAACCAGAAGGGCAGTAGGGCATCAACCCCACCAAAGCACTCAACTATTCAAATTATTTCCTAAAAGAAAACCAAACAGTCTAGATAGATGCAGCTGTGGGCCATCTTCAAAGCAGGGAGATTCTGCTGACCTAGATGTCTCCCTCCTCCCATCTGGTTGAATAAATTGTCTAGAAATGATGGACTAGTAAAAGGTTGTTTTGCTCGCTGTTTTACTTTGTGTTGACATTTATTGGGAGACGGCCTGTTCCAAAGGTAGTTCTGAGCACTTTTGTTGCGCTCAAGGGTCTTCTCTTAACAAGGCTGCATCAGATTCCTTCTCAAAATATCCAGGTCAGCATTTGTATCCCTCCCCCCCCCCAAATGCTCCGTGGAAAATAACTTTGCTTACGATATAGATATTTCAGAAATTGGCAGCAGAGAGAACCTGTTGAGCTCAGGGTTTGCGTTCAGTTTCAAAACTGAATTGGAGAAAACTGGCCCAGGGTAGACGATTGTGGACATTGCAGGCCATTGCAGGCGTAGATTTGGGTTGAGTCAGGGGTCAGCAAACGTTTTCAGCAGGGGGCTGGGTCCACTGTCCCTCAGACCTTGGGGGGCGGGCGGACTATATGGGGGGGGATAGAACCAATTCCTATGCCCCACAAATAACCCAGAGATGCATTTTAAATAAAAGGACACATTCTAATGTAAAAACACGTGGATTCCCAGACCGTCCACGGGCCGGATTGAGAAGGCAGTTGGGCCGGATCTGGCCCTTGGGCCTTAGTTTGCCTACCCATGGGTTGAGTGTTAGGAATTTTTTGATGATACGAGCAGCTTGACGAGGAAACCACAAGTGTGGAGGTTTCTTCTTCCCTCCAACCGCCTGTTGGAGATGGACCATGTGAAGTTATCTTATGCTGAATTGGACCATTGCTCTATCTTGTCTACACTGAGTGACAGCAGTTCTGCCGGATTTCAGACACGAGTCCTTCCAGACCTACTTGTAGAAGCCGAGAATTGAAGCTGGAACCTACTGTGTTGCTTCTCATGAGCTTTGCAAGCCCATGCACTAAACCCTGTCCCCAGAGCCTACCTCCCCCTCTCAAAATGAGACATGATAAAATTAAGCCACAAGTTTATTTGATTTCAGGTGTAGGAACCTTGGCTTAGGCCTCTCATACCCGACAGGGACTGAGGATGCGCAGGGCAGTCAGGCGTTGTGGGAGGGAAGCGTGAACTTACATAGCATGCCCTCCCACTTCGCCAAAGCCAGGAGTTTGACCTACATGCCGCCGCTCTAGGGCCAGCAACTCCTGCAATCAACCCTTTAACGGGCCCCGCAAACGCCGCTGCATGGGGGTGCATCAATACGCTGCCCCCGATTCGCAGATACACTATAGAATACCGACCAAGGCCTAAAACCGCCAAAGTTGTGACAAATTGCTACGGGGAAGGTGAAACCTGCCAATGCAGGGAAATTCTTTCCCAGTTCTGAATTAAAGCAACCATCTTATGACCATAGCAGTGCCCGCTGACCTAGGAAGCAAGAGGTTAGCCCGCAAAAGAAGACCATGTTATATTTGTTGGGATATAGTTCCATTGCGTGGCAAGTCCCCTCCCCCATGTGAAATGAAGACACTGGACACGTTATTTAAGGTTAATGGGCATAAAAAGGCCACAATTTATTGATTACAGAATTGAAAGGTATTGGCCTTAGGCATTGGCTCCTATTGACTACCCGGCATGGAGACCGGGAAGGGTTATCCACAAGCCGTGGGAGTCCTGTTGAAGTACGCCAACTAGGATCCCATGGGTGTCACCGCTCGGGGGCATGCCGGGGGCCCTTACCTCCCTAGGTTTCGGACAAGGCAACGCCCCCCGGAGTCCTCTACCGGACTACCCTTTCCTTGGGGGAAGGTGATGGCGCTTCCTTCCCCCCCATTCATTTGCATAACAATAACCCCTGCCAATGCCTAACCGCCAATACCGCGGAAGTTGTGACGTTTGATACGAGGTAGGTGAAAAAACCAAAAGGCTAAAAGTGTGCCAAGTTGGAAAAATTCCTACCAGGCCCCATGCGGTGACCAACCGGAGTCCATAGCAAGGTCATAGCTAGCTAAGCCTAAGGGAGGGTGGGATGGGAAAATCGCTCAACTGGAAAGGGGAAAGAGGGCGGTCCCCGGGCGTGCCTGGCCTTAAGTAGGCTAGGCCATGCCTCCCCAGCCCGCCGATTGGCGGGCCAGGTTGAAGACACGCCCGGGGATTCCCTGGATCTCGCGGGGGCAAACGGCCAGCCCCCGCGTGTGTGGGAGGGGGTAGCCCGCAATCCCCTCTCCTCCCGAGCTCGGAAATGACTTTCCACCTTAAAAGGTGTTACACGCCTGTTTACTTTCAGCACAGGCTTGCTGGGAACTTCCGTTTGTATATTGCTTTTGCTATATTGCTGTTTGCTTGGACACAAAGGGAAGCAGACATGTTCTTTCCTTTGTTCCTGAACTATGCTGAATAAATGCCTATAAATAATGCTTATACATGTCTCTGTCTGCCACTTCCATTGTGAGAAGTTATTCATTCTGCTGATAAGAATGTGCTCAGCCCCTGAACGTTTTGGAGGCTCGAGTCGCTGATTGATGCTGTTCTGGGAATCGGAGTTCTCCCAGCTGCCGGCCGGTGGCTAGAGCCAGCTGGGGGCCTTCCAAATGCCCCCGTCTCCCCGGACGCATCCCAACAATATTTAGGGAGGGTTGGGTGGGTGAAACTGGAAAGAAAACAAGTGAACTTGGGTCAAAGAGCATCAGGCCCTTCCCCAGCCCTCGCCCCAGCTCCAGCCAGCAGCCCATTGGCCTGCCGAGCTGGGGGCGGGGCAACAGCCACCCTGTAGCAAGGTGGGTGGCTCCCCGGTCCCAGGAAGCCCACGCGGTGTCACAAACCCCGCCCACCTTTTGTAGAGGGTGAGTGGAAATTCTAGCAGAGGGAAAAGTTGAGCAGCATCATTTCCAAGCATTGTGCGAGAAGGTGCTATGAGCAAAACAAAACGAGGCAAATGTAGTTGGCCGCGCTCACGTTCTTGTCCTTCTCTCCCCTCTCTTTCTTTGCTGCAGAGTGCCACTCCTCCTGCTTATCCTGTCTGGAGAAATCGCCAGAGAACTGCACCACATGCGCACCCCCACGAACCTTTCATGAAGGCCGGTGTGTCTCTGAATGTCTGGATGGATGGTATCAACAGGAGGCGAGGTGCTACTGTGAGTCCGCAAAACCGAACATCTGTTATTGCATGCCTGCCACCAGCACATTTGATCGTGGCTCATATGTAATGCCCAAGGGGGGGAAATGCCTCCTTCCCATATTTTATTTTAGAGACAACGGTGTCATCTGCTGCCACAGTGTAAAATCAATGGGTGCTGTGGGCTGTCTGCATGAGCTACAGCTTGGTTCATCAGGACATCCCTTTTGCTGTGGGGTTCTTATCCCTTCCTGGATTGTGAGATATACACATTCTCCAGGAAACCAATATAAATGGGGAGATAGGGAAAAACCCAAAATTGGTTTGTGCAGAATGAGGGAGCATTGCTCTGTGGATGGAGTAGCCTTGCAGGCATTGCATGCATTTTTATTTTTCAAAAATTGATTATATTTATTATTAGATTTAAGGCTTTCGTGGAGGAGAAGGCTATCAGATGGAGGCAGGAGTGCTTCTGAATGGCATTGGTTGGAAACCACAGGGGGACTTGTGCTCAGATCCTGGCTATGAGCTTCCCATAATGAGCATCTGACCTTATCCAGCAAGCTCTTCTCATGTTCTTATGTCCTTCCCACTCCACTTGGTTATAACTATATAGATATCTAGAAGACATTCCAGAGCATCTTGGGGGAAATGATTCAAATGCTTGTTATATAAATATATATTTGTCTGTCCTCCTAAACAAATAAAACAGCCTGGAAGGGTGTTGGGGACGGCGTTGGTAGCCTTGACTCTTCCTTGCTTTATGTTTGTTTGAAACGCCAAAGATTAATGTGGACCTTAATCTTCCATTAAGATCCCATTTAATTTCAGGCTTGAGTTTGTGAGTACAGGTCCAGAGGAATGCCTCCCTCGCAGCTGTGCAGATAACAAAAGAGCTGCTCTTTTTTATTTTATTAATGGGAAACGGTTGTGGGAAATACGCCGCCAATGTTTTGGGTGGCCTGAGGACAGTCTTATTTGCCACGAGCCGACAGGCGAGATAAACCTCTTGTTGCAGTGTATTGGGTTATTGTTTTTCATTTAGAGCCTGTTACAGGCTCTGAAGTTTATGGAGGAGGAAACATTGCAATGAGATACAGGGGGAAGAGTCTATTGAAGTTAGTTATTATCTGGCCGCAGGAGAGTTCTTCATGCAGCCGGCGCTCTCTCTTACGGGTACGTAGAAGATCTGAGCCCATATGTACGCAACAGATCGTTGCATTTCAATCTGTGGCGCAAGGAGCTGAACGGAAGAAGCTCCAGGTAGCTAGGATATGGCGGAGACCCAGCTCTGTAGCCCTCTTTGCATGAGAGTTAATCCTGCCCTGACAATAGCCCCAGATGCTTCCCAGTAGGATAACTCGCCTTTCCACGAACAGCTGCTGCTCTCGCTTTTGTATGTGACGTACATCCATTGCACAGAATGCACTTGAATGTCACACTTCCTTGGCAGAGCTCCCTCATCAATGCTGCAGCTCATGGAAACATCTGCTCCTTTTCGCTCTTTGTACATGTACGTTGGTATGTGTGCATTAGACACACATGTGTTCCTAGTCACGTACTTCTTTGCCAGCCACGAAGTCAATGTTTCTTTGCCTTTGTCGAAGACGTGGGTTGTCTTAGCAGAGCTCTCTGTCTTCTTTGCCGCCACCCAGTGTGCCATCCCTCTTGCAAGACATGCCACGGGCCGTCGGATGCGGACTGCGCCACCTGCCACCCTCACGCCACTCAGGCCAAAGGAAGGTGCAGGACTCCCTGCAAGGCGGAACAATACCTCAATCTGGTGGGCTACTGTGTTGGTAAGTGCAAGAGGAACATTACAGTCTCCAGTGCTGTTTCTTGCTTCTCTGTCTTCCGCATTCGTGCTATGTCTTTCCCGAGGGAGTTCAGGGTGGTGGGTAAATCGAACCTTTTCTCTGTCCCATCAATATCAGAAACCTGGTTGGTGGCGGCGCATGAGGCAGAGCCTTTTCAGTGGCTGCCCCCATATTGTGGAATTACCTCTGAAGAGAGCTTAGATTGGCTCCCTTTATGTTACCCTTCTGCCAGCAGGCTGAGACCTTCCTATTCAGAGAGAGGCCCTCGAAAATGGAGAGGAGATCAATGCCATACATGTAAAGCACATTCAATGAGCATTTAAAGCACACGACCCCCCCACCCCCCCCAAAAAAAATATTGGAAATGTAGTAGGTTAAGGTTGTTGGGAATTACGGTTCTGTGAGAATGAAACTGCAGTTCCCAGGATTCTTTGGGGGAAAGTCATGTGCTTTAAATGTGCGGAGGATGTGCTTTAAATATATGGTGTGGACCTGGGCTGCTATCAGGGCAAACTGCATTTTTGTCGCTGATCTGAATGTGTTCTGATGTATTTTAGTTATTGGTTTTAACTAGTTTGTTTTAAGCTACTTTGCATTTTGTAATGTTGTGAGCTGCCTTGAATCCCAGCTTCGGAAAAGTAATAATAATACAACTAATAATACAACTAATATTATTATTATTATTATTATTATTATTATTATTATTATTATTATTAACAGCTCCCTGCAGTGCATTAGTCTTGGGTGTCTTGTCTGAGGCTCCTCACTAAAGCTCTGTGCCTGAATGCTGGTTTGCATCCAGGTTCCCTTGAACAACACTCTGGGCACTGCACCATGAAGGTTGGCTTTTAAAAAATCAGCAAGCAACAGCCTTGCCATTCAGTTGACCCATGAAGACAACACCTAGCACACTGCCAGCCCAGTATAAACATTAGATTGCAGTGTTTTGATTTATTTGAGTTACAGATAGGTAGCCGTGTTGGTCTGCCATAGTCAAAACAAAAAAAATTCCTTCCAGTAGCACCTAAAAGACCAACTAAGTTAGTTCTTGGTATGAGCTTTCGTGTGCATGCACACTTCTTCAGATACACACAAATTTGGAGAGGTGCTGAGGTGCTACTGGAAGGAATTTTTTTTTTGTTTTGATTTATTTGTTTATGTTTAGCAGATTTATATCCTGTCTTTTGACCCATTGATCATCAAGGTAGCTTCCAACAGATTGTAAATTTTGTGTGTGTGTGTGTGTGCGCGCACGCGCATGTGCCCAATTAAAGGGAACAAAGTGTGCCTCCTTTCTGTTCTGCCGGTTGAAGCCGGTTGTTCTTTCTGGCAGGTATTGCGGGCTGGGTGGGCCGCAAGCTCCCTGCTGCTGCTCCTTTGACTAACAGATGGGGCCAGATTGATCATCCCTTTGCCGTGGTGTTCTTCCTGGGTGGCAGGGGGTTCTGCCTCCCAAGGGCCTAAGGGCCACCTGGCTGGTGGCAGAAGCCAGAGTATACCTTCCTTCAACTCTGCAGTGCCAGGTAACTGGCAACTGGAACAATGTCTTTTCATGCCGGGAGATGGGGAAGCAAGCTTTCTGCACCTTCTCTTCTGATCCCATTGGATTTGATCAGGCTGGCCCTCTCCTTGCCATGATGAATAGCAAGGGATGCATCTCTTGGTGTAATTTGTAGAGTGGCAAGTCCTGAACCAGCTCACCACAGGGCAATTCCCAGGCCTCGTTGTCTCTGTGATGGGTATTCAGCAAGACCTCGTAATAAGCTCGCAAAGGGGTGCATTTTTGCAGAGCCACCAGCCACGGCCATCGACAGGTTGACGTGAAGCCTCTTAACATGGTAAAGTCGAAAAAGGTGTGTTAAGAGGCCTTCTCTGTGCTAGAATCTCTGGAGGCTTCCCAAAGTCCTAGTGTCAGAGCCATTTTAGGCATTTAGGGGAAAAGCACAAGGTGAAATTCCCATGGCACAGCTTCCTTTCAGACTATATATTCTTGCGCAGGCGAAGTAGACTGGAATATTTAGTTTCTCCCTCATGGGTCAACATTAGAACTTTCTCTCTGACATGCCAGTTTACTACACGCAGGGATCTTGTGATGTGAAGCCTACTGGTTTGGGGTTCTGAGACAAAAAGAGATGTGCATGTTTTCCTCAAACTTGTTTACAACCCAGCCAAATGCCTCCCTCTCTTGAGGAGACTTTTCCCTGAGGAAAAATTCTTCCCCTTCAGTGTTTTCTCCAATCTGATTTGGCTACTTGGCCTTGTCAAGAAGCCTGTTCAGAGTGAAGGCGATTCTTCCTGCTCTTGTTCTGAATTGGCTTTGTTACATAGTCAAATCTGATGGGTTGTGCAGTGCCGTAATGTCGTAATGATTGAGGTCTGATCCCTGATTGACTCGGAACACCTTTCCAGGAAGTAAGAGGTAAAACAACCCAAAATAGTCCTGAAGCAGCAGATAAGAGCAAGCAAATTTGGAGAGGTGCTGAGGGCTACAAACAAGATAAGCAAAAGTGTGTATGTCAGGATATATTTTATCTCCCAGAAAACCCGTGCCAAAAATGTTTATATGCCAACATATTGGCACTTCCCTAACTAGCAAATAGTAGAGACTGGGGAAGAGTGTACTTTGCAATTTTCCTAACGTTATTGAATAGCTCAGCTGTGAATTTCTTTCAGAAACTACAAAAGGCCATTTTATTTGGGTTGCATTTTGGTTAATACTAATGTGCTTGGTCATAGTTTTTATTTAATTTTTAACTGGCCTCTTTTGCATGTATGTTTTTTCAAACACTTCTCTCCCCCTCCCCTTTAAAAAAAGGGTTTTTTTGGGATAGGCTGAACTGCAAACCCAAATAAATACCATTTTAAAAATGTACAGCTGAGTCTATTGCCACCAGTCTCCTGTGAGATGAATTTGATTAGGTCTGAATCAAGCATGAGTTTTTTGTTATATGGAGAGAAAAATGAAATGCCAGGACTTTCAGAAAGGGATCCTCAGTGGTATATTGGCAGAGCGTTGAGTGATGTATGAAGTCTACGCCAAGAGAGAAGGGTGGTGAAAGACAGATCAAACATTTGGAAGTGAAATGCTACAATTCAGAGGGCTTTAAATCTATGGTGTGGATCCGCCTTAAGGTGTAGGCAGTGCTGATACTGGGCTTTTATCAGGGCAATCTGTGCTACTAATAATATTTATAATACAGTGGTGCCTTGGGTTAAGAACTTAATTCGTTCTGGAGGTCCATTCTTAACCTGAAACTGTTCTTCACCTGAGGTACCACTTTAGCTGCCGCCGCCACACAATTTCTGTTCTCATCCTGAAGCAAAGTTTTTAACCCGAGGTACTATTTCTGGGTTAGCGGAGTCTGTAACCTGAAGCATCTGTAACCCGAGGTACCACTGTAATGATTTATTATTTGTCTCCGTCCATCTGACTGGGTTGACCCAACCACTCTGGGCGGCTTCCCCAAAAATTATAAAACCACAGTAAAACATCAAACATTAAAAACTTCCCTATACAGGGCTGCCTTCAAACACCTTATAAAAGTCATATAGTTGTTTATCTCCTTGACATCTGATGGGAGGGCGTCCCACAGGGCGGGCACCACTACCAAGAAGGCCCTCTGCCTGGTTCCCTGGAACCTTTTCACAATGAGGGAACGACCAGAAGGCCCTCATAGCTGGACCTCAGTGTCTGGGCTGGATGATGGGGGCGGAGACGCTCCCTCAGGTATACAAGGCCAAGGCCGTTTAGGGCAGGGGTCTGCAACCTTTAAGACAAAAAGATCCACTTGGACCCGTTTCCGAAGGAAAAAAAACTGGGAGCCGCAAAACTCGTCATTATAAAAATACCTTTTTTGTCACTTTTTATTATTTCTTTGTTTGACCCCTCAGAATTACTCCTCCTCATAGAAATAAACGTTAAATTAACAAGTTACCTTTTTGTGTGTGTGTGTGTTCTTCACTCCCCTTCAAAACAGTGACCAGCGTACATGCCCCTTACAGTGTAGCGGGCGGGCGGGCGGGAAGGTGACGTCGGGACGGTGCATGACTAACGCACGCACCGCCCCCATGTGACGTCACAGCCAGTACAGTGCCCGCCACAGTGGGGAGTGTTGGGGCGCACAATGCACCTCCTCCCCTCGCTAGTATCCGCCCCGGAGCTGCGGCCACGGTGTAAAAGAGCCACATGCGGCTCCGGAGCCGCAGGTTGCAGACCCCTGGTTTAGGGCTTTGAAGGTCAGCACCAACACTGTGGTGCTCGGAATCGTGCTGGGAACCAATGTAGATCTTTTAGGACCAGGGTTATATTGTCCTGGTGGCTACTTCCAGTCACCAGTTTGAATTAATTGTAGTTCATAAGTCTTCTTCTTTGTTACATTTATATACCACCATTATCTCAAGGTGTGTACAGTGGTACCTCGGGTTAAGAACTTAATTCATTCTGGAGGTCCATTTTTAACCTGAAACTGTTCTTAACCTGAGGTACCACTTTAGCTAATGGGGCCTCCCGCCACCGCCACCGCCGCGCGATTTCTGTTCTCATCCTGAAGCAAAGTTCTTAACCCGAGGTACTATTTCTGGGTTAGCAGAGTCTGTAACCTGAAGCATCTGTAACCCGAGGTCCCACTGTACATGGTTCTCCTCCCCATATCACCCTCACAGCAACCCTGTGAGGTAAGTTAAGCTAAGAGAGGGTGACTGCCCCAAGGTCACCCAGTGAGCCTCATGGTTGAGTGGGGATTCGAACCCTGCTCTCCTAGGTCCTAGTCCAACACTCTAACCATTACACCACACCGGCTCTCGCCTTCAAGGGTAGCCCCACGGAAGGGGCATTGCAGTAGTCCAAGTGGGAGATAACCAGAGCATGCACCACTCTGGCCAGACAGGGCGCAGGCAGCAAGCAGGGTCTCAGCCGGCACACCAGATGCTGAATAATAATAATAATAATTTATTATTTATACCCCGCCCACCTGGCTGGGCTT